ACCCTTTTTGGATTTTGCTTTTTTGATGGATTTTGGTCCGGGAGAGTACTAACACCCACCTCGCCAAGGGGAAACTCGGGGTTTTGAGTTTTTGATAGGATTTATTGGGATTTTCTTAAATATTGTTTTTATTGATAAGGAAAGTGATAAGAATTTTATTTTCGAAATAATTTTTGCCCCTTAAATTTATAAATTTATAAATTCCTTTGTGATTTCCATTTACCTCCTTCTCTATATACATACAAATCTATTAATGGGGGACGAGGTGGCCGAGCGGTCGAACACGTCGTCTGCGGCGCTGGCGGTCGCGGGTTCGATTCTCTCGACCACTGGGCGGCATTTTTCTCCGGGAAGTCACGGTGTCCGGAGAACAGGGGGCACTCCGGGGCATGGCAGAAACCTACGGGTGCCCCAATAGAAATTCTGCCTAACACAACATACACGTGTAATAACCCTACAATTTCAAACCCTACTACCTACAAATTACAATCATAAACCCTACAATCAAGCTAATGGCCATAGTCGCCGGGCTTTAAAAAGATCAATTAAAAAAAAAAAAAACAAATCTATTAAACAAATGAAATTAAAATTTACTTTTGAAAAATGCTACCATTCCTTCAGTATTTTCTTAACACGTTGTCACGTTCAACTATCGTCAGTAAACCGACTTTACAGACAACCGATTTTTTCTTTGCATTACTACTACATAATAATTGTTTTTAAAATCTTCTAAAATGTTATGTTCGCTTTAATAAATTGTATTTTGAATTTTATTATCGTACCTAATCAAATTTTATATTTACTAACTGCCTGTGTAAGGCGATTCCGGGCGTTGTGGAAGCCGCAATTAATCAGCATTTCAATAATATATTAAAAATATAAGTAGTTTGAATGCACGGATAAGATAGACATTTTTCATGAGTATTGCAGTACATTTAACTATTATAGCTAAGAGTTTTAGTAGGACCTTGGTATGTCGATTGTTTATGACAATGTCGTTACATACATAATAATGTAAGTAATAATAAGTAAACATGAAAAGACTACAATAAATTCAATACATTTTAATTTCTTAAAACATACATGTTATGTAATATTATGCCTCGGGGGGCACCGTTCGGACCTTATTCGCCTTCCCCGCTAGATTTATAAGCCGCGCGCTGCCGTACTTTTTTCCCGTCGGCCCCGCCGCCGTCGAGCGCGTTTTTTGTCGTTTTTTTTGAAAATTCGAGTTTTAGGCGTTTTAGGGCGTATCGACCTCCCCGTTTGGATCTTATTCGCGTTACCCGGTAAATTTACAGTCGGCGCGCGGCCCTACTTTTTCAAAAACGAGTCCCCCGGCGGACGATTCGATCTCCGAGAGCGCCGCGTCGTCTCCGTTTCGACGGTTTTCTCGACTTTTTCGACTAGAGTCGCGTTTAGCAACTCTACGAGACGTTCGACCTCCCCGTCGGGGACGTATTCGAGTTCCACGCTAAATTTATAGCCGGCGCGCTTACCTACTTTTTCAAAAAAGAGTCCCGGGGAGGAGCGGCGTCGTTTAAACGAAAGTAGGTAGGTACCGAGTAGGTACCGCTATATACAGGCATAAATACGTGCGTCTCGAGGTTCGATTTTTTTGCAAAACTCGCGTATTATACGTCCGAGGGCGGCGGAGCCGGTCGTCCGCTCGCCGAAGAGGTCGGATCGCGCGCTCAAACGCCCTTTGAGGGCCTTCCAAAAGGCGTTCGCCTTTCGCGGGGACGGTGACGCGGCTTAAGAGTCATAGATTTGACTCCTAATTTTATCTCGGTAGGTGGCTAGGTAGGTTAAGCGTCAGAACGGGTCACCCGACAGTCGTGGTTACGAACCCGGCGGCCGATTTAAATCGAAATTCTTTTTTTTTCGTCACATTTATCATTTTTAACGAAACTTACACCCCCACTGCAACCGACACTCGGGAATTGACTTTAACCCGGGATGACTGATAGCTAGACACTCAAACTCAGAGAACCCGAATTTCCGATTTCAACACACATACGAGAACCGGACATACACGCTCGGGGCATGGTCTGCGATCCGACGTAGTCGGATTGCCTACCTGACTAGCTACTTGCATACGAGCGACTTACAACCCCCTGCAACCGACACTCGGGAATCGACTTTTACCCGAGATGACTGATAGCTAGACACTCAAACTCAGAGAACCCGAATTTCCGATTTCAACACACATACGAGAACCGGACATACACGCTCGGGGTATGGTCTGCGATCCGACGTAGTCGGATTGCCTACCTGGCTGGTTGTGTTGTACGATCGACTTGAATCGCGTGACTTACGACTAGACACTCTTCCGAGTTCAAAAATTACCGCTTAACCAGTGCTGCCAACACGACAAAACACAATACCCGACGACCCCCCATTCCCGCCGCAAGTCGGATCAAAAAACCCAGCATCGCCGACAAAGATGCACCAACTCCCACACAGTCTTTCCGCCGCAGGCGGGATGACAAACGCCAAAATCTAGTTAATAATAGAATATAAGTATTATATAATATAAGTATATAAATATAAGTAATATATTAAAAATAAATTTACTAACATTAATGCAGTAATGCCTAAATAGTAAATAGTTTTACTGAATTTACTGTGATAACAAAATGTTATCGAAGATTCACGCGCCGTCAAGCATAGATAATAAAGAATGGATAGGCCAAGGCTATGGCTATAACATTAGGTGCCGCGTTCCGAGAGAGCAGATATCTTCTGTCTCACAAAGGTGCCTGTCATCTCAACTTGTGTTATCACTTATTGAAAATCTAATATTTTAGCCCGCCACTATTTGAATTCAAATTTCAAGTGTTAATAGATAATAAAGATATATCATAATTATTAAAATTATTATCTATGGTGTTAATCGACTGAGTATAGATTAATTTTATTATTATAAAACCGTATATTACACACAACAACTGGTTACATCTTGATTCTTGTGTGATTTGTGTAATTGTTTTGTAAAATATCTTGATTAATCATTATATAGTTGTACAAATTGGTTCATCGGTGTGTTGTTTGTGGAACCAATGACAAAAATGACACAACATTATCTTTCCATTTGTAAGTATTTTTTAATTAGTGGCGTATGCACTCATCCTATGTATGATATAACCTTTTTTTCAACTAAAAAAATTTATATTTCTTATAGCTTTCTAAAAAATGATTTGAAAAGAAGTATGTGGATGGAAAGTCTTAAATTGAAAACCGTTTTAAAAATGCTACTGGCCTTAAAAGAACACGCTGGCCTAATGCTGTTCCTTCTTTAGACCAAGATATAACTGAGGTGGTCATTATAAATCTTCATGACGAAGGAGAACTCGAAAATGACTATTTGCTTAAAAAGTATCAATACAATAAATTATTCAATATACAATTCTAAAACTTTGATTGTTTTATTGATAGTTCAATAAGTGATTCAACTAAAGAAGTTTTGCATAGTTTTAGTGCAAATAAAAATGAATTAGCTACATGTGAAACCATTGCTATTCCATCTTTAGATCAAGATACAACTGAGGTGGTCATTGTACAACTTCATGACGAAGAAGAAGAAGAACTCAAAGATAGTTATTTGCTTAAAAAGTAACAATACAATAAAAAATTCAATATACAATTATAAACCTTTGATTGTTTTATGTATAGTTCAATAAGTGATTCAACTAAATTAGTTTCACCTAGTTATAGTGCAAGTAGAAAAAATGAGTTACCTACTTGCAGCCCAATTCAAAGTCCATTAGGTAGAAGGTAAACAATTTAATAATATATTATTTGATATGTATAATTTGGGTCAGATGAAAATGGTTTTACAATATATTTAATGCCTTATTTTAATTTCAGTTTGTCAGACTGTTCATTAATTGAAACACAAAAAAAAAAAAAAATTTGGAATAACACTCGATTTGGTGAATTATCTGTCGGTAGTTTTTTACACCAAGAAGGGCAGCCAGAAATGTCAAGATAGTGAAATCCACTGTTTTAAATCTTCGATATAAAAACAAATTGTTGATTCAGAAGAACCAAAGATTAAATAAAACATTTCATTTGCTAAATGGTATTCTTGGTGAATTAAAAAAAAAGATTTAATCTCAGATACTGCTGCTGATAACTTGAAGGGACCAGATGTGTAAATGTGTAATGTTTATTGTGTGTATTATGTGGATTATACAGTAAAACCTTTCCTAACGGACGTTTTCTTGGGAACTAACTACAAACTTTCTAAAATCTGAACCCTAATAACGGACAACATATCGACGACCAAGAGTGTCAGTATTCGGAGGTTTCACTGTATATTAATATTATTGTAATACTAATTATTTTTTACTAATATAATGGTCAACTAATATACTATATATTATAATATTATAATGGTTTTTTTTTGCATACCTATTATATTTATGTATTTAATATATGTACTATAATATGGGTAGTAATCGGTAATAGTATGCTGTTGTATGTTATATATTTATGTATTATTTTAATGCATGTATTTAGTATGTATTTGTTAGTTTTAGTATTATGTGTTAAATGTTTAATATTAATAGATTAAAAATCATTTTCACTCAAGACTCAACTATGGACTTGGAGACCATAATGATAATATTTGTTTATTGTTATATTGTTGTAATTCAGTAAATAAAAATAAATAATTGATTCAATATTAATTTATATTTTAGGCTTTGGGTTCTGATGTTCTGGAAAGGTTGGTCAAAAATGGACTAACAGGTAAAAAACAGTCTTTTTCAAATGAATTAAAGCAGTTTTCAGTAACTTTGCAGTATTATTCTCCAAAAGCATACACATATGTCAGAAAATCTTTTAATAACCTTCTTCCTGGTCCTCAGACATTACGTAGATGGTACATGGTAGTTGACACTTGACTGAAATCTTGGGTTCACAACAGAGGCATTTGAAGCGATTTCTAAACTGGCAAAGATAATACTATATGTTGTAATTTAGTTATCAATGAGATGTGTATAAGACAACACGTGGAGATGGATAGTCAAAAAAAAATGTATGGTTTTATTAATATGGGAGCTGAATATGCATACGACAACGACAATATACCACTTGCTAAAAATGCTTTGGTATTTCTCGCAGTTGGTATCAATGGGTATTGGAAAATGCTTATAGCATATTTCTTAATCGATGGGTTGAATGGTAAGGAACGTGCACATTTATTGATGAAAGCTATTGATTTGTTAAATGAAACTGGTGTGAAGGTTTGCTCTATTACTTTCGATGGTGCTCGGTAAATACAAAAATGTGTACAGAGTTAGGTGTAAATTTTGATATTGATCATCCTCAAGCATATATAGTTGATGATAGAAAAGAAAAGGTGTATGCTTTCTATGATCCTGCACATATGCTAAAATTGATTCGAAATGCTTGGAATAATAAAACAATTATATTAAATTCAAAAGGTGAAGAAATAAATTGGAGATATATTGAACAACTATACCAAATTGAACAAGGACTACGTCTTGGAACGAAGCTAACCAAAAGACATGTGAATTTTCATAGTGAAGTGATGAATGTCAGGTTAGCTGCCCAAACCCTAAGTGGCAGATGCATTAAACTATTTAACGAAAAGTAACAATAGATTTTTAAGAGCTGGTCCGACATCAGAATTCATAAAATATATAAACAACGCATTTGATATCCTTAATAGCAGATCCAAGTTTTCAAAAAAACCTTATAGTAAAGCAATATCAGATGAAACTATTAATCAATTTATAGATTTCATGAACATTTTTATACTATATATTAAAGGTTTGAAATTCCAAAATGGTGTTAAAGTAATAAAATCCAATAGAAAGACTGGTTTTGTCGGGATGATATTATTACTACAAAATGCTATTCAAATGTTTCAAGATTTACATTCAAAAGGATTTATAAATTCCTTACTCACCTATAAAACTAGCCAAGACCATATTGAGACTACATTTAGTGCAATCAGAAGCAGATTAGGGTACAATAATAATCCAACTTGTAGACAATTTAAAGAAGCATATAAACGAATATTAGTTCATAGTGAAATTGTTGGATCTCAATTTGGCAACTGCGCTTTATTAGATAATACTAAACATTTAACAGTTGATTCTTCTGTAAAAGAAAAAGAATTAGTATTTAAAATAAACGATACCTGGATACCAAATAGCCATCTTTTGGATCATGATTATTTTGATTCATACATGAATATCACAAAATTTGTTGAAGACACTTCAGAATATATTGCAGGATTTGTTGTGAAAAAAATATTAAAACTAATTGCCAAGCTTCACTAACAATAAATTCAAATAATTGTAATTCTTTAATTAGTATCAAGAATCGTGGAGGTTTAATTTTTCCAAATAATAATGTTGAAAAAGTGTGTCAAGAAACTGAGAGAATTATCAGAAGTCACCCTGTAAAATATTTTAATAATGTCAAAAATAAATTGTATTTATTTACAAAAGTTAAAGTGAATTTGTATAAACGTAATACAAAGTTGTTTTCCCAGTGCCCTGAACGAGAATCATTTTTGGATTCACACCAGGATCAATTAATTAAATTGATTGCCTTAAAATATCTAGATATTCGTTTATTTCATGAAATCAGGAAAATTAATGATCAAAACATTAAATTTGGCCGTTCGAGAGCAAAATTAACAAAAATGATTCTTTTTCACCATGAATAATTTGACATTTATTTATTTTATTTTTGTTTATTTTAATTTTTATTATAATTTCACTTACTTTTATAATAGGTATATACATATTTATATTGTCTTTAATATTATACTTAATATACATAAACAAATACCTGAAAACTATATAAATTAAATTGGACTTTATAGTTTATATCCACTACTATTTCACAATCCACTCTTAAATATTTTATAATTTAAAAATTAAATAAAATGTTCAAAAATATTTTAGAAAGAAATACAAAATATCATGGAAAAAAAACATGGAATAGAAAAAAAGCACCTACTTTAATAAAGTCTGTGAGAACATATGATAAAGGATTATTTCCTATCCATTCTTTATTATCTATGCCCTTGTAGCGGCGCAGCCGTCACATGATTTCTCCCCGGACGACGTCGGCACTGTAAGGCGTTGGTCACTCCCCACCAAACCGACCCTCTTCTCCCGCGATTTCGCGATAGTACACACGTACGCGCTACGCACCTCTCGTTACCGTTTTTCCACACACGCGAAACCTCGTGACCAACGTTTCTGACTCGTCTTGTTAACACTTACGTCCCATCGTACACTAACTGTATTATTTTACTTTTCTACGTACTCTTGTAATAATTAAACCGAAACATCATCAACCAAACCGCTTTGTTGTTCTTATTGGTAAATTAGTCACGATTACGTGATCTGTTGGAGTCAGCCGGCACTAACCGCGCCGACATCTCCACACCCTCAAGGTGTATTGATATCACGAACAAGATATCATAGTTCGTGATTGATATCAAACCCTTATCATAACATTCATACCGTTATCAGTCACCAGTTAACCAAGAACCTAGTTGATTACAAAAATTCATGAACTAAGATAACCAAAATTTTTTCTTTATCTTTCTTAATTTATTTGTTATTTGTTATGACTTATTTTATAATACAAGAACCGTGAGGCAGTGGGGGGCTGAGCTCTGCTATACCAAGCTCATGGGGGGCTGTAGCCCCCGAGCCCCCCTGCTATGCATACTATGACAAAAAAAATTATACCTCTAAAATTCGTTTGTGACTATTCGTTCGTTAGTTACGGGTTTGCGCGTGCATTGCGCGTGACGTCCCGGATTCATTCGCCGCGGATGCGGCCATATATAACGCACATCAATATTTATCCATTTTTTGGTTTAACTTAAAATAACTGGTAATGAACTAATTTTTGCGAATAACCTAACCAAATGTGTTTAAGAGTAACTCATAACCTTCTATTCGTAAAATTATATCACATTTCGTACTAATATTAATAAAATAATAACAATTATAGTTTTATAATACACCACTGTCATAACTGTTTATAAGTTTATTTTTAATTTTATATGATTCTATCGATGTTTATTTTTCATGACAATATAGGTAGTCGTAGTTATAAGTATCGTTATGATTATAATAATATTAATATCCTTTATTTCGTGTTAGTAGTAAGTACAGTGTTAGTGTGAAATGTTAATGTGGTCCTTTTTATTATTGATTATAGTGCACAATTTAGTTACACGATCTAATATAATATATTTTTTAATGACCCTTCAACCATATAATTTTGAACCAACAGCGGATGATCTGGGAACATATATCCAACCACAATATTTAAATAATTCATTTTTGGAAATTGATGTTAATGGACGATCAAAAGTGACTAACATAAATAATTGGTGTATGTGCGAAAAATGTTGCATTTTAAATAACGATGTTGAGTGTGTTTGTTGTACTGAATTTGAAAAAGTTACACCTTTACGAACGGGAAATAAGTGTATAACAGAGAGTGATTTGTTTAAAAAAAATATTTAAGACGAAGACATACCTACTCAACATTACGCGTCATAAAATTATTCTAAAAACAAATGATAAATTTAAAAAAAAATTACTTAGTATGTCAGTTTTATCAAATAGTTCATGGAGGTTCATTTGTTACACACAATATATTCATTGGATTAATTCGTGGTCTTCATTGGGAAAAGGTAATATTATCATACATTTATTTTATATAGGTACCAAAAGTATTTATTTATAAGACTTACTGTTATCAGGTGTACGAGTTATTATTCCAGCCTGAGTTGTAAAAATTACTAGAGACAAATATCCAGAAATGAATATTGTTTATGTTGGATTCAAAAATGGAAGTAAATTAAACAATTAGATGAGAAACATTTTATTTGTTATAATTTTAAATGTATAAAGAATGTTTTGATTAGATTTTAAAATTGAATCTTGGTGTGTAAAAAGTATTCAAAGTATTTTATTTAGTACTTTGTTGAAACTGTTCTTCTTCAAGGTACAGCAATAGTAATACTAATAAATATTTTTTGTATTCTAAATTATAATTGTGTATTTAACTACAACATAGGTAACAATAAAACTAGTGCTTGTAAGAACTTTATTTGGTACCTACTTAGAATAATATTATAGAGTATAAACATAAACATATGATCCTTAAAATATTTTTAGATACAATTTTAAAATAAAACATTTCAAATCAATTTTGATTATTATCGTTAAAAAATCTGGAATATTTTTTTGATCTTAACTCATTTATATCTAGTTTTGGAGTAGAAAAAATATTCTTAGGTACGGCCGGTAGGGGTATTAATTTTTCTTCTTGACTTTGGAAAATTATGTTTTCTTTAGCCTTTTCTTTAATATTTTGAATTATTTCTGCATGCCAATCATTGGTTGTAGATGAATATCGAATTTTAGATTGTATAACGCCCCAAGGGTTTAGAGTACACCATTTTATCCCCAATCATTGTTTTGCTTACATTACTATTATGATCTAAAATAGCTATAATTTAACGCATATGCACACCACTGTACTTAAAATGAATCCTTTTAGGCATGTATTTTAATTTGACGTTGTGATATGATTCTAAACGTCCTGTGTGTACACAATGTTTGGCATGTTGGAGATCTTTTAGAAAATCTTTTGCCAATAAAATTTTTTTTAGAGCATTGTAAAACTCAATGTTTCATGTTCACATTTTTGTATATGTGTATATATATATGTATATGTTTCTAACTTTACAAAGACAAGAAGGTCGTGTCGGGTATATGGCAGGTGTGGACAAAAAATTATGTGCAGTTGAAGAACGAAAATGTGAACGAGAGCAAAGGAGAGAATTGTACAAGCAATAATCCATGATGCGACCTGGTAAATTAATTTTTATATTAAAAAAATAAATAATTTATCTGATTATAATAACATTAATTTACAAAATATACAATATAAAATTGACTATATCTATTATTTTATTTGTAATATTATTTTTTTCTTAGGCCCATCTCACACTGTTGATTTTGAGGAGAGTATATCAAGCGATGATGAACGTGATGTGCTTAAATCTAAAGATTCCGAAATGTGTGAAAGTATTATAATGCCAATTAAAAATAAACGAGGTAGGAAAGAAATTATGACTAGTCGTTTAGCATCAGCTTTAGACAAATGTAAGGTTAGTGACAGGGATGCAGTTCACTTATTAATAGCATGTGCCGAGGTATTTAATGTAAATGTAAATGACTATGCAATAAATCGCTCTTCAGTTAAAAGAAGTCGTGAAAGTTTTCGTTACCAAATATCTTCCGAAATTAAAACAGCATTTCATCAATTAAATCTTAATTTTGCAGTTGTCCACTGGGACTCAAAAATACTTCTTAATTTGATTGGAACCGAAAATGTAGACAGATTACCAGTTATTATAACAGCACCAAACGTAGAACAACTTCTTGGGGTACCACATTTGTCATCTGGTACTGGAAAGGAAATTTCTTCTGCAGTGTATGACACATTAAAAGATTGGAGTATGTTGGAAAAAGTGCAAGCGTTTGTTTTTTATACAACAGCATCCAACAGCGGTAGATTAAATGGATCATGTGTGCTATTAGAACAAATGTTAAACCGACCAATACTGTTTTTGGCTTGTCGGCATCACATATTTGAAATTATTTTGCAATCAGTTTTCTCATACTCAAAACTTACAACAATGTCTGGTTCCGAAATTCCTATTTTTAAACGTTTTAAAAATAACTGGAATCAAATAGATCAAACGAAATATAGCACTTGGGTAAGTGATAATGAGGTCAAAAAAATATTGCATAAAGTAGCCGATGATGTTATAATATTTTGTAAAGATACTTTAAACCAAAATCTACCAAGGGATGATTACAAAGAATTTTTGGAATTGGTGATAATTTTTTTGGGTGGGGTACCACCTAAAGGCAGTGCCGCATTTAGACATTTTGTGCTGCGGTGCAAAAAAAATTTGGCGCCCCCGTATGAGGCCTAACCCCATATATGGGAAATATGGAGGGTAAATTCTCATGAACCTTTTAGATTTTGAGCAAAGAAAAGAATATTGTTTTACAATAATGTGTTTTTTTTTAAAATATTGTTTAATATTTTCATGAACACTCCCCCCCCGCCCCCCATAGATACAATTGAGTGTATTCCACTTGAGTCCTGCTTATAATTTACATCATATGTTTTTTTTTTTTTTTACATATTTAGGTATTTACTTCATGGATCATATTAATATAAACTATGTGCAAACTTATGGTTTATTTTTTTAAAAATAAGTACAAATATTAATAAGAACAATATAAAAATATAATAAAATATTTGTTTAGGTACCTAAATTTTTCTTCTACTTTGTAGTGTAGCAAATTCATTGATAATATCATCAAATTCAATTTTAGCTGTTACATCAAATTCTATATTCATAATAGCTAAATCACTGAGTCTCTCTGCTGAGATACAAGACCTCAGATATGTTTTGACACGTTTTAAACATGAGAATGACCGTTCGGTCAAGCAATTACTTACAGGAGTACATAAAAGCATTCTGAGAGATACATCTATATAAGGGTACATTCCTATTAAATCATTTTTTCTCAAAACACCACACATATCCTGGATAGTCTTAGGAGCCTCGTCACCGATACTTAATAAGTGGCTCCTAAAATGAACACATTCATTAGCAAATAAAGTACTGAGATCATCTTTATATTCATTTTGTAGTATTTCAGCATTCTTTCGGACTTTAATTGATGTCATCTCTGTTAATTTGAAAAAGAAGTTGTAATTTTTAAGTAGATTTCCATATTTTTCATTTCTTTTTTCTAGTTGTGACCGCAGTTGATCAAGTACAACAAAATAAGTTTTCACTTTAAAATCAGAGTATTCAACTGTTGTTTCTTTAGATGGCCCTTCATCAAAAAATTGTTTTCTTATTTGTAATCGTTTGGTACAGGATTGAAACTGCTTAATTTTAATTTTTTCAATTGCACATTGTTTAAAATACTCATAGTTTTTATCAGAGCGTAAATCAATGATATATGTTATTAATGATTTATACAATTCACACACTACACCCAAATCGATATTGACAGCTTGTAATTTCTTGCTCGTTAAGTTGAATCGGTGTAATATTTGACCCCAGAATATAGATAGGAATGCAGTTTCTAAATTATTTAACTTGTTGAGAATTCCACTAGCTTCATTTCGAGTAAGTGTTTTCTCATAGTATCATCATTATTTATTACATTTAATGCATTAATAATTAAAGACCAGTTTTTGTTCAGAGATTGGCAAGCGTTATCTCTAGCAGACCATCTTGTTTCTGAAAGTCCCTTAACAGAAGCGTTTAGAACTTTCCAGCGGTGAGTAGAAGCTGTGAAAAACGTGTAAACATTTTGAAGTAAATCGAAGAATAAAACGGCTTGAGTACAACAATCAACTGCATTAGTTCCAACCAGGTTAAGGGAATGCGCAGAGCATGGTACAAATTTTGCTAAGGGATTGGCTTCTTTTATTTTTGCTTGCAGTCCGGCGTAATACATTAGTTGTTTTAATTTCAAACAGCATAATAAATTAATATTATATAATACCTACTGTTGTCTGTTATTAAAATAATTTACATTTTAAAAGTTCATTTTTCATTTTATTTTTATTAATTTTTTTATTTCCGACCACAAAATTTCGGCGCCCCCAAAATACTGGCGCCCCGGGCAGTTGTAGCCAGTGCCCCCCCCCCCCCCTAAATGCGGCACTGCCTAAAGGTATTCATTTTAAACGTCCAGGAGCTTATCATCTAGCTAGATGGATGTGTAAGGGAATATATTGTTTGAAAATATACATATTTCAAGAACAATTTAGACTGACAAAAGCAGAAATAACTTCATTAAAAACAATATGCTGTTTTATTGTGAAATGCTATATAGAGTTTTGGTTTAGGTCTCCTAATGCTATTGAAGCACCTTATAATGATGTACTTTTTTTAAGAAAACTTGAAGTCTATAAGTCCGATGATAAGCAAGTGGCTGAGCTTGCTATAAAAAAATTTATAAATCATTTATGGTATCTGGGAGAAGAAATCGCTTGTTTTTCGTTATTTGATGACAGGATTGAAAATCACGTAAAAAAACAAATGGCTCAACAATTATTAGAAAATGACGAGCTTCAAGAAGACGAATTGACCACAGAAATACAAAAAAAATATGTATTAAAAATTGGTGATGTCTCACAATTTTTAAAACAAGACTTACCACTTGAATTATTAACGCCTAAATCGAAAAATCTATTCCAAAGGTTCCAACTAAGCATGGAGTTCTTACATCAAAATCCAGAAAATTGGCCGAATATCGATAGTTATATAGAGGCCAAGAATATTTTACACCATTTGAGCGTTATAAATGATGCAGCCGAACGTGGTGTCAAATTGATGGAAGATTTTAATACAAAATTTACAAAAAATGAAAATCAAAAGCAGTATGTATTGAAGGTAAGTTATATGTTAATAAATAACTAAGATAACTAGTATGACTTACGATTTTTTTTTAGGTAGTACAAGAGTACCGGAAAAAATATCCAAGCCATACCAAAGATACTTTAACAAAAGATGCACAATGCACATAAATAATCATTATATTATATTATATTATTATTTTTTTTTAATTAACAGGAAACTTTCAACCTCAGAACATATTTGTAAGAAACTTTTATTTAGTAAATAAATATTATATATAGCAACAATTATAGTACTTCAAGTTTTGTGCGTAACATTAATATTTAAGAGATTAGAGGTCAAAAACTAAAAACTTATAAAATTTCCTAAAATATTAATTATGACCAGTTTTTTTTTAAATTTACGGGATTCCATCAATTTAACTACATATTTATAAGAAACTTTTATTTAGTAAATACTAAATATATATAGCTACAATAATAGTACTTTAAGTTTTTTGCGTAATATCAATATTTAAGAGAGTACACGTAAAAAATGGAAATTCATCCCCAATTAGTAAAACTTCAACCCCTTTGAGGCACGGGAAGGGGTAGACTTATCATGCCCAAACTTTATCATAATTATTTTTTCAATACATAGAACAACATTATTTGGGGTACTCGTCATCAAATTTCCAAAAAAAAAAATTGACCTCTATAACTAAGGACCACCCTATAATACAGTCTATATTGTATTACACTGTTTCTGGTATAGTATTGTAAACAATACATCCACAATATTTTCCAATTAATGATGTGATTTAAAAATTAATAACAGTTAATAATTGAAAATAAATAATAATATAAGCATTACAATAAATATGTAATATTTATATTACAGAAAGGTTTAGTATGTTGTATAGAAATATATAATCATCATACCCATACTATAAAATCTGCTGAAAGTCTCAGATTTATTCCGGCTGGTGATGATGTAAAAAATATGTTTTATGAGTATTTTTATTCTGGAATGGGTATAACTGAATCACAAAAATATCATGAACAATTATTGGAGTTAAAAGAGGATTCCACGTTGGAACATTTTGCTAATGGAGGCATTAATCCATGTTATCGTACGGTTCGTTATTGGTATGATGTTTGGAGAAGTTTGAATTTAGGTCCACGTAGTGGTGTTGGATTAATTGAGGTAAATATCAAATTATAGCAATAAAGAATAGTATACTTACATAATATTAGATACAGATAATACAAATAAGTAAGGTTAGCATACATATTAATGTAGCTTTATTATTTTAATTTTAATATAGAAACTAAAAGAAAAACAAGAAATATACAGTAAAAATGGCATTACTGTTTTATTCAAAGAAAATCCATTTGCTGTAATTGTTATAACACCCATTATGAGAAGAGCTCATCAAATGAAAGAGGCAAAAGAAATAATATTTGTAGACAGCACAAGTGCATGTGATCCTTTGAATCGTTCAAAAACATTTGTTATGTGCCCAAGTTCTGCAGGGGCAGTGCCTTTAGCCATCATTTTAACAAAAGGTCAAACGTATGAGTGTTATTGTCAAGGATTTAAATTAATTAATGAAGCTGTTCTAGAAAGTTTTTGTGGACAGGGATATCCCAATTTAATTCTGACTGATCAAAGCTCAGCTGAAATTAATGCCATCAATAATGTTTGGCCAAAAAGTAACACGTTACTTTGTATATTCCATGTCTTGCAAGCAGTTTGGCGATGGTTGTGGGATTCAGCACATAAAATTCCTATTGAAAAACGTAAACCATTAATGAAATTATTTCAAAACATTTTATATGCCGATAATATAATTGATGCAGAAAATGCTTACAAAAAAGATTGTAAAAATGAAGAGTTTCCTCAATGGACAAAATATTTGTGTAATTATTGGACATATAAAGAAAAATGGTGTATATGTTTTAGGGACAGTTATTCTAGAGGTCATGTAACTAACAATTACTGTGAAGTAGCAGTTAGACTTTATAAAGATCATGTTTTAGGTAGTGTAAAAGCGTACAATGTGTTAGCTTTAATAGATTTAAGTAGTACAGCTTTAGAAGATTATTATAAAAGAAGACTAAGAGAATTTGCAGACAGTAGAAATTCCTCAATCAGATTAATGTTACAAAAAATGATGAAGAAAGTTACATATTTAAAAGAAGATATGATTGTACAAGAAAATGACTATGAATTTTTAGTGCCAAGTGAACAAGAACAAACATTATTATATTATGCTAATATTAAATGTGGTCTTTGTTCATGTTCTAGTGCCTTGGCTGGAAAGTTTTGTAAACATCAGTATGTATTTTTCAATTTTTTAATATTAAATCTGATAATTTTCCTTCTATAACTGCTACGGACCGTTTTAATATAGCTAAAGTGCCTTTGGAGAACAAGTCTTGGATAAGTCATTTTATGATCCATTTTTAAAAGTAGAAGCTGTAATAGAACAAAGAAATGAGACAGAAATTAATAATACAAATATTAATAACGATAAAAATGTACAAAAATTAAATTTAATAGAACCCATACCAAGTTCCAGCTCAGAATCAAATGATAGCAGCAAATTTGAAAATGTATTAAACTTATTAAACCTGTGTAATACTTCATATGGATCATCGTCTACGGGAATAAAAAAATTAGAACAAAGGCTTAAAAAAATTAAAAGCAAAGGGCAATGGGAACATTTTTTACATACAGCAGGGAATTGTGTACCATTGAGAAATAGAGATGGTGCAACTATTAAGGTTCAACCTACCACAATAGCTCGACGAAGTGCAGGTATAACAAAAGGTAGCAAACGGTTATTATCTGGTAGACCTCCATTAGGAGAAAACGTTGGTAAAAAAAGGAAAAGAAATTTGAACCAAAATATTAATTGTAATCAACCTAATGCTAAAAGTCACGGTTCACTTTAAATACTTATTTGTAATTTTAAAATTTATTTTTAATTTTTAGTATTTTAAAACTGACTATAATATGTATCTATACACTTAATTTGAATTTGAATTTTAACTAGAAAACTTATACTTTATTATTATTATGAATTGTAGAAATTGATTAGATGTACATACCTATACACGTGATTTGAATTTTAACTTGAGAACTTATATTTTATTATTATTATGAATTGTAGAAATTGACTTGATGTACATACGAATACACGGGATTTGAATTTTAACTTGAGAACTTATATTTTATTATTATTATATTTTATATATGAATCAAAAAGCATAAAATTTGAAAATATTGATAATTTTATCATGTTATCACAAATGTAATAGGACCAATGAGAGCTCTCTATTTCCTATAGGTCTCTAGCAATGTATGGTTTGCTTATATCAGGGTATAGACACTCTGTGTATTGGCAAAATCGGGTGACTGTGGCCTTGAGCACGGTCTCTAAGGGGGCGTGGCATATGTTATCATTTAAATAAATCATATCAATATTATCAGTCCACAGAATAATAATACAATATATTATTTCATTAACAATAAACCAATGTAAAATTACATTATAGTTTTTAATTTATATTAAAACAAAATCCTTATTCATTTTACCAAAATTTAATATTGATATACTTAAAATATGAAAAATAAATTATTTATCGTTATTAATCGTTTATAAAAATTCCGTAACAAAGAGGGATACACGTTGCTAACGTTCTATCAGATTACGGATACGGTACAACTTTTATAGTCCAATACATCATACCGTAGGGATACGTAAACCCTCACAGCTGATCGAGTGTCTATTCTATATTGTTCTGTGCTTATATGCCTCCCGGAGCCGTCACCGCGTTATCAGTCTTTCTTATCACTTTTTGCGATTGTCCGGGGGGCACTGTTCGGACCTTATTCGCCTTCCCCGCTAGATTTATAGGCCGCGCGCGGCCGTACTTTTTTCCCGTCGGGCCCGCCGCGGCCGAGATCGAGTGCGATAGGCACGCCGCCGTCGAGCGCGTTTTTTGCAGTTTTTGTCAAAAATTTGAGTTTTAGCCCTTTTCGACTTATTCGCGTTCCCCGCTAAATTTATAGGCCTTGCTTACTCCCGGACGAGTCCCGCGGCGGACGAGTCGATCGCGGCGTCGTCACGATTTCAACGATTTTTCCGAATTTTTCGACTACGGTCGCCTCTAAATCCTTTCCGAGACGTCGGAACTCCCCGTCGAAGACGTATTCGCGTTCCCCGCTAAATTTATAGGCCGTGCGCGACCGCACTTTCTCCGGGGGAGTCCCGGGGCGTAGCGGACGGCCCGCGCGGCCGCCGTCGAGTAGGTATCGCTATATACAGGCATAAATACGTGCACGTTCGATTTTTTTTTTCGAGAATATCGCGTTTTCGACGTCCGACGCGGTGAGATCGCCGGCTACGACGCCCGAAGCGGACGTGCGAATCGTTATTAATTTTTCGCTACCACTCCCGCCTTATCATATTTAGCGAAAATGTTTTTCTTTTCTTTTCAAAATTCGAGTATCACCGCCTTTATGGACTCGCACTGCCCCAGCGAAGACTTATTCGCGTTCCACGCTAAAAAAACGAGTCCCGTGGCGGAGCGGGGTCGCAGAAAGCAGACGTCCCGCGGCTCCGCCGTCGAGTAGGTATCACTATATAGTATATACAGGTATATATACGTGCGTCGGGAGGTTCGATTTTTTTTCGCAAAATCGACGTCCGAGGGCTCAGATCGCCACCTACGACGCGCGAAGCGGACGTCGAAATCGCGTTCGGAATTCAGACGCTGAAACGGTTTGTTACCTCCTGTATGCTTTTTCAGATTTGAACGGCCGTTTCGAGCACTTTTCGCTGTAGGCGGATTGTCCGTTCGGGAATCGACTTTCACCGGAGATGACTGATAGCTAGACACTCAAACTCAGAATCCGAATTTCTGATTTCAACACACACACTCCAGAACCGGACATACACGCCCGGGGCGTCGTCTGCAATCCTCGGATGGCCTACCTGGCTGGCTGTGTCGTACGATCGACTTGAATCGCCTGACTTACGACTAGACACTTTTCCAAGTTCAAAAATTACCGCTTAACCAGTGCTGCCAACACGACAAAACACAATACCCGACGACCCCGCGTTCCCGCCGCAGTCCGGATCAAAAAACCCAGTCCGAGGCGAACCGACAAATATGCACCA